TCCAACCCTAACTATTCTGTGATTTTATGTTAAAGGTTAATATTCTTTGCACCTTTTTCCAGCTGACAGCAAACCTTTAAAAATGTTTTCCAACAAAACTTAAGAACTTGCTGAGCAATTTAATAAATTCCTCCCACCAGGGAAAATAGAAATGTCAGAATCATAATTGCTTAGATGAAGAGCATAGCATGCATTGGGATTATTCTGAGTAACGGAAGAACACATAGTCTAACTCTTTCCAACCCTTCTGACTTAACTGACACATTGCTGTTATTAAAAGGCAAAAGAGAGCTTAGGCTAAAATCTAGCAGGTATATACGATGTAAGTTCCAACAGCAAGCACCAACTTCACTGCACAGCAATAACTTACTTTCCCAGTGATTTCCAGTATAGACAGACACCAGAGTCCCATTTGTTTCATTTACACAGTATCAGTCCCTTGTCTCATCAAAAGAACTTTTGAGGTTGTTCTGATCATGTTTTCCACATGGAATATTTTAATAGAAAGGTGTCTCTAGCCATTGGAAACCATAGTTAGGAGACACAGAGGGAACAGATGGTGGTGCCAGTGGTTTATTTAGTAGTATAGTATTAAGCAGGTGCAAAATTTCTGTATTGGAATGAGATGTTTAACACTATTTGGTGATATTAGTGCTGCAGTTTAACCCTACTAAGCACCACACAGCCAAACCCAGCGTAATTAGTATAAAAACCAGTTCTTGATTACTTTTTAATTCATCCTAGGGATACAGGGGAATTACATGCTTCATAGTAGATCGCGACACAGAGGGGCTACATGTAGGGAAGAAGGAAGACAAGCTTGGAATCAGAGCATCTTCTACCTGTCCAGTAACGTTTGAAAACGTTAAGGTATGGTAAGTTGTTTAGCTATTGAAGCATGATCTGTGTATACTTGGAACTTGACTACATATAAGAAGATTAACTAAATCCCCCAATTTATTTTTTCCTCAGACACACTGATTGTTTGGCATATTTTAACTTTTTCCTCCCTTTTATTTTACAGAAGTCTTGAGGGAGTTTGGTTTTTGTAACATTTGGTACAGGTTTTTCTCATACGTCAGTTTATAATTGCCCAAAGAAGTGGTAAATGCTCCATCTCTGGCAGTGTTCAAGGCCAGGTTGGACAGAGCCTTGGGCAATATGGTCTATGGTGAGGTGTCCCAGCCCATGGCAGGAGGGTTGGAATTAGGTAATCTTAAAGTACTTTCCAACCCAAACCATTCTGTGATTCTATGATAATCACATGTATGAGGAAATGTTCTAATCGAATATTCTAGGAATCAAATGACTTATATTTTATGCTTCAGTGGTGAGGAACATTAAATAAACCTTGTACAGTGATTCACCTCTGAACCCTGCTACTAGAAGCTGCAAAGCAGACTAGAACAGGAGTAACTGTGTTGTTTTATTCTTTAGGTTCCTGAGACCAATATCCTGGGACAGGTTGGACAAGCCTATAAGTATGCAATTGGAATGCTAAATATTGGCAGAATAGGTATTGCTGCACAGGTGGGTAGTTCTGTTTAATACTGAATACAACCAGCACAGAACTGGATTGAAATTTACAAAACAGTTCAAGCTGTCTTTAGAAAATACTTTATTAAAAACTCAGTTGCCACTAGATGTCACTGTTCCTGTAGCTAAGTTACAATGAAATCCTGAAACAACTGTGAATGGTAAAATTCTCCTTTGGTGACATAAGCAATAGCTTTAGAAAACATTAAATGGCACTTAGTTTGTCTTTGATAGTTAACTTATCACTTCTGAGATGTAGCAACACTGTTATCTTCCATTATGCAAATCTATTTTACAAAGAAAACATTACACACTGAAATGTATAATATTGATGCTTCCAAGTTATATAGGATTGCCAAATGTGACTTTATTCTAACTGATGTTTTCCCAAGTACTTCTTTTTAAAAGTCAATTTATTTTAAAAATAAAGATACTTTTTTCATAGCAGAAGTGCCCTAGTTCTTTGCTGTATTTGAAAATTGCACCTTATGGCCTCTTAGGGGAAAATATTTACTGACTTTGGAGTTACTTTAAAATGTATTTTGTTGTAAACTCAGTTTGGATCTCAGATTACTGCTGATTTCAGTGGAAATCAGGCTCAGCCCTATAATAAAATTACTTACAACAAGTTTTTATGAGTTTATTTTACTTTTGAAAGTAATCCTTTCTTTGTTTCTACGGTGTTGTGGATGTATAGGGTGTAATATGTCTGTGCTACCAGTCTTCCTTATCTTTTGCCCTAGTTTACAGACAAATGAGGAGTAATCCTCATGAAATTTAGACTTTCCACTTGGCAGTAGACTATGCTGCTAAATGGGTTGGCTGTTCCATCATTTCTAAGGATTAAACTTAGTCTGATATGTCATTTAAAAACCAGAGGTATAAATAATATAGAGGCTCCGGCAGTAAAATGCCTGGCCTGGATTTTACTCTTAATTACTCCAAGTTACATTTACAACCTAACTAAAAGTTAAGGTCAGGTAGTTGTTGTATCTTAACTTACTACTTGAAGTGCACTTGAATGGACAAGAACAACAGTTCTAAAGCCCTGTAGAATTGAATGTAGTTTTGCAGTAGAAATAGTTTTAGAAGGTAATTAACATCTTATAAAATGTGATTGTGGCTGTGAAAAGTTTAGTGCAAGGTAGCTCCATATATTGTTACAGCTACTGAAGTGGATATACTTGGTTCATCTACATGAGTTTATAGAAGAAGGCAGCAAATCTGGTGATACAGCTGCATTGTTTTATGTTATTTTCCCAGATCCCCATTTTCCTATGTATTGGGGGGGGTTTCTAGAACCTTGAATGATGAAGCAGTAGATGTCTGAAGCCAGGCAGACTCATGGTTTTATCTTCCTGGGGTCCTTGGCTTTCGGTTTAATATGTGGGTCTGTCCAAAAATACCTGTACACTGTTGTACCTCACTGAAAGTAGTTTGACTAAGCTGCTTAGTGTGACAGCTGACTGCCACACTGTGGTACCCCATCTTGAAGTAGAAAAGTTTTATGAGATTCCAAGTTTACTGTACACTGTTACCTCACTTTCTGAAAATTCTTCATAGCATTAATTTCCCTCTTTCCTTTTTGATTTTTTCCTTGTTTGATTACTCCCCTAACCTAATTTCCTATCTTTGCTTTTCCTAGGAATCAAACAGGTAGACAAAATGCATTCAGATGGGTGGTAGCTACATAGTAAAACCAACTGCTCTTATTTACTAATAGCTCTATGTTCCACGATGTATGAAAGGCAGGGTCCTTTCTTTACTATCTTATTTGGCATGGAAAACACTTCTCAAAATCTGATAGTTAAAAACCCCATAAAACTAGTTTACTTTCCAGATTTCATAATGTTTCTTCAGGCTAACAAAGCAGTCACTAAGGGACTGTAGCAATAGGACAAGGGGTGATGGGTTCAAACTAAAACAGGGGAAGTTCAGGTTAGATGTAAGGAAGAAGTTCTTTACAGTGAGGGTGCTGAGGCACTGGAATAGGTTGCCCAGAGAAGTGGTAAATACTCCATCCCTGGCAGTGTTCAAGGTCAGGTTGGATGGAGCCTTGGGTGACATGGTCTAGTGTGAGGTGTTCCTGCCCATGGCAGGGGGTTGGAACTGGATGATCTTAAGGTCCTTTCCAACCCAAACCATTCTATGATTCTAGGATGAGAGTTACTTCTTTACGAATGTTGGTGTGTAGTTTTCCCAGATGTTATCCTCCAAGATGCCACTTGTGTTTTGTTGTCTTCACTGCTGGTGAACAGACAATGGGTCTTCTAAAATAGTTCAGTGGGGTTGTTTTTTTCCTAGATAATGCTGGAAGAAATGTTCTCTGTCCTTCCGCTACACTGCTATTCTAACTTCTGAAATAAACTGCTAATTCTGGCAGTCTGGTGTCTTCTATAAAATGAGAAATTATTTTGTTGCTGAAAATAGCTTTGAATAATCATTCAAATTATTTTTCCTTTAATATTTTAATGTACATCTATAGATCTTTACAGTTATTTTCCCACATAATTAAGAATATTCCCAAAAACACTTAATATTTGTGCAACCACAGTTTTGTTCCAAAAGCAGTGATAATCTTTTCACAAATCTTTGCCTATAGTAAGGAAGTTTCATTCAGGAATGGAGTAGTATGGAGTAGGCTTACTCCTCAGACTTCATTTTTTTGTCACCTCAGCAGGTCTAACAACTGCAAAATTCTGGCTCTTGAGATTCTGTGTAGAACCTTCATTATATTTTAGCTTTGTGCAAGTTGTAGCCATCCCTAGGTAGAAAGAAAACTCAGCTTTTCTTCTGAATACCAGGCTTTTTACAGAGGTAAACTGCCTGACCAGAAGATCAACTGTTATCATCTCCACTAGGGACATGGCAGGGGGTTAGAACTAGATGATCTTAAGGTCCTTTCCAACCCAAACCATTCCATGATTCAATTAATTCATTTTTCCTGAACATATGCCTTATTTCTTACAGATGTTGGGACTGGCACAGGGCTGTTTTGATCACACAATTCCCTATACAAAGGAAAGAGTCCAGTTTGGGAAAAGCATATTCGACTTCCAGGTACTTGTTAATGAACACATGGGAAGTGTCCTCCAAGAAAGTAGTTGTTGCCACAGTAAACATAGTAAAATGAGTAAATCTGATTTGTATAATTTGTGCTCCACCTTGTGTCATGTCTACCCTTCTTAATATTTGAGAAGAATTTCAGATGAGCCACATAAAGTACATCAATTCAATGCTATGTGCCTTTGCAAGTGCCATATAAATACTCTAAAACTTCAAAGCATTATTGACTTAACTCCTTGTGCTTGATAGCATATTGGCAGCCTTTGAAAATAACACACACAGAGCTCCTTTCTCTCCTGATTTTAATATCACAGTATGTTGAATGTGTTTTTTACACCCTTTCAGGAGATGTAGGGGAAGGCCTTTTTCTGGACACTAGAAATGATAAAAAGATGAGGAAACTGATTGAATTATTAGATTTCCTGTGTTATACAAAGACATTTTCATGATAATACCTGTGTCTTAAAACGAAAAGAACTCTTTGTTGCAAAAATGATGTATAGTTTAATAAGGAAGATATGTAATTGTAATTACTATAGTAATTTTCTTGTTAAAAGAAACCTACATCTTGGCTGAAGGAACATTAGTCCTACACGCAATTTATACAGATTTTAGGAAGCACCCACAGAGATCCAGGAAATGATCAGAACTGTGTCTTTTGAATAGGAAATGGAATTTATAATTGCCAAATCATTTTGTTATTTTGACCTGCGTATATATTTTTGCAGATTTTAGGGAGTAGTGTTAATGTTCCAATAAGATGAAAGATCTCATTGTGTTTTAGGAGCAAGTTACACTACTAAATGTTCATTTTCAACCATCATAATGTTTGGGGCTCCTTAAATGAACCCATTCTTCTGTAATACCTACCATTTAGATGTGAGCTCCACCACCTTTTTCCTTCCCTTCAAATCCATTCATCAGTCACATTCTCTTTATGCTGCTCTTCTCTCTTTTCTCATGGCTTTGGAACATAGGAAGAAGTAGTTATCAGCTTGCTAGTTCTCCACTTTATTTAAGAGGTAGTTGTTTTCAGCTCATCAGGGATCTAGACTTATTAATGTATGAATGTGCTCAATAGAGACCTGCAAGATGAAAACACAGCTTTGACCTACCCAGTCAGTGCTGAGGAGAGTGTTAAGATTTGGCTGAAGCTTTCCTTGATATTCATGGGTGCAAATAGGTAACCCACCTGCCCAGCCAGTCAGGCAAGGAGTTCCCCAGTACTTCTGAATCCAAGAAAAAGGAAGGAGAAAATGAGAGTGCACTTCCTAGAAAGACTTTGGTGGCCAAGAGGTTTTCCCAACTTCAGTATCAATAGGTGCAAAGGAATTTGGAATTATCAGTCCATTTGGATTTTGTATTTCTAGTTTAGAGTATAGGTATGTTCCTTGGTGAAAAGAAGGGCTCTTGCTAGAAATCCTGGTTGAGTACTAGCTCCTGGTTCTGTCTGACTTGTGGTGTCTTTATTACAGGGAATGCAACATCAGATAGCTCAGGTGGCCACACAGTTGGAGGCAGCAAGGCTGCTGACCTACAACGCAGCCCGTCTTGTGGAAACAGGAAGGCCGTTCATAAAGGAGGCAAGCATGGCCAAGTACTACGCTGCTGAGGTGACTTGCAGTTTCTTTCTTCTGAGGCTTTATTTCCCTGCTGTTCAGAAGTTTCAGCTGTTAATGGATGTATAACTTCTCATTCATGTTTGGCAGTAATATCTGTGGATGTACTTTGATCTTGCTTTTCATGCCCAGTCCATGTATGGCATGTAAAGTAGGCCACCTGAGAATAAACTGCTCGCACCCCTAGATTTTGACAAGCAAGCAACAACAGTGAAAGAGAAAGTGAATTATTATCTTCACTCATCTGGAGAGATTTCATTTTGGCAGAATTCTCTTCTTGTGGCTGCAGAAATGGCATGGCGAGACCTCATTGGTGGCCATTCAAACTCTGCTGGTCACAACTTCAAGTCTTCATATGACTTAAAACCAGACTGCTTCTACCTCTTTGTAATTGCTGTCTTGCATATTGCTACTACTCTTTTTCACAGTGCAGCATATGAACTATTGCACTAGTGGTTAATGAATTCTTGATGTCCTCTCATGCAGAAAAATGTCATTTTATCCTAAAATGGCTTGCATAAGATGAACACAAAAATACAAGTCCTTCCTCTTCCCAATAAAGCTGCTGCTTTAATTGTTGTTTTGGTTTTACTTCAAATAGCTACAAAGGATAAAATTTACTACCACATGAGGTGTAATCCTGAAATTGTAACTCTGAAACTATTGTCATAGGTTGCAACCCTGACAACCAGTAAATGTATTGAATGGATGGGTGGCGTTGGATTCACAAAAAATTATCCAATAGAAAAGTATTATCGTGACTGCAAGATAGGTGAGTGATAGATTCTTAACAAGTATTTCTTGTAGCATTAGTAGCACTCAAGTTTGAGGATGAATGACTGGTTATTTTTTTAAGGTATTTCTTTCTTGAGTCTGTGATCGACCCTGACTCAAAGGCTCAGCTATAAGAAGGTAAAACTTTAGGGGTGAATAAATATGTGTGTATGTAAGGCTAAAATGTTTCATTAGATACCAGTAAAATGCAGACACACACATTGTGTCCCATTCTGTTAAGAAAATTACAGTTCAGAAAAGTTGAAAACACCTTCTTTGCCTTTAAGACCTAAGTCTATTCAGGTTGAACTCCTAAGAACTGGATTTTCAAGACTTCCTTGTTCACCAGTATAATCCCGGGACCAAACAGTTTGACATTTCTAACTATGCTACCCTTTGATTTTATTGCTGATAGCATTTGTAAATACTTAATTTTGTTGGTTATGTAGGAATTGCTTTTCAGGAAAATGTCTTGTCATTATGTGGTACCAGCAGAAGAGTACTTTAGTTGTTGCAGATAATAAAAGCAGGGTGCCCAGAGAAGCTGTGGCTGCCCCATCCCTGGCAGTGTTCAAGGCCAGGTTGGACACAGGGGCTTGGAGCAACCTGCTCTAGTGGAAGGTGTCCCTGCCCATGGCAGGGGTTGAAGCTGGATAAGCTTTAAGGTCCCTTCCAACTCAAATAATTCTATGATTTATGTATTATAATATAACTACACAATAATATATATTATTATAATTCTCTTTCTAGAACTTGCTCAGTAAACCTTTACTTCATAATTGTAAATGTTTAAATGGACTGTTAGAATAATACCTTGGTCTCTCTTCATACATTCACTGTGGTTTTATAGTCTTCTAATTTATTTTCTTCTGATTTCAGGTACAATATATGAAGGAACTTCAAATATCCAGTTGAGCACCATTGCAAAAAGCTTAGCAAAGGAGTACTGAAACCAGAAGGACTCGGGACTGTTAACAGAGTTGTTTCCCTGAACATTCATTGCGAATCACACATTTGTTTGTAATCATAAAAATCATTAATAACATCATAAATAAGAACACATGATCACAGATGAAAGCATAAGGAAAAACCATGAACTCCCCGTTTCAGAGCAGTGAGTGTGTAATTCACCTGAAATCATGAATTCCAAATCCAAATCGTGGGTTAAAAGTATTTCTTTCTGCTGAGAGACTTTAAGATAACATATTGGCTGAAATTATTTGGTTGCCTTAGGTTATGCCAGCAGTGGATCTCCACTTTGAGATTTCAAAGTGAGAACAAAAGAAGCCAAATCCTTGGCTTGCCTTGTGTGAAAGATTCTGTTAAGCCGCCTGGGAGACAGGACCCTACACATGCAGCAGAACTGTTGCGTGGTGTGAAGCTGCTGTTTGTTCATGATGCCCTTTATTAGCATGGAATACAGAGAGAAATGGAAGTGAGAGTTTCCTCTCTCCGAGGTGGAGTGATGTCTGTGGAGCTGCTGTAATTGGAGTAATTTTTATAGCAGCCCTCAGTGTGTTCTTAAGTGTATCTTGGTAATTAAGCCCGTCCTGTCCCAATTTGTAGTACTGAAAGGTGGATAATATCTACCTCTTTTTCCAGCTTTCTCAGCTGTTAAGGGTTTTAATCTAAAAGGCTATTTATAGTTTTCCTTTCAGAAAAGGTTGAGTTGAAATCTTTGTGAAATTGGGTTAAAAAAGCTCTAGTAGTTCTGCAAAAAGACAGAGATATAAGCTAGGTAATGGGAGTGCTATGATACTACCTCACAGTGGCCTTTCCATGTTCAATGTATTTTACAAACTTTAACCCTCAGAGCCCTGCTGGGAGTTAGAGAGGGACTGTTAATTTCCAGCCTAGAAAACTCACTCATGGAAGCTAGTGGTTCACCAGCAAAGTGTTTCTCCTTTTGACAGAAAGGAGGGGGGGAGGGTTTGGAGAAGTATTTGCTTTTCTATCCCTCTCCATTTACTTTATAATCAAACATTTTATTTACAGGAGAAACCTCTCCAGTGCTGGAGATCTCATTAAGTAAGAATCAAGAAATGGAAAGCTTAATATATGAAAAATCGTTATAATTGCTGTAATTGGCAGTTTGCCTCAAGTGTTTTGGGGAGGGAAGGATTCTGGTTTTGTCATTTTGGCTGACTTAGGAGAATCTCAGTCACTGATGGTCCACTTCGAATGGAGTTTACAGTGTTACAGGCTGAGAGTCCCAAAGGATTTTTGAGCAAAACGGGGGTATATGACACTTAACAAGTATGGTTTTGAAAAACAAGCAGGTGGCAGTGCCTTATGCAAAGAAACAAACAAGGGGAAAGCACTATTACAGAGTTTCCTGACTTTCTGTCAGCTTCAAAGGGAAGTCAGTGCTTTAGTGAATTAATCCCCCTACATGCATGCTTTGCCTGTCGATAGGAAAAGAATTAAAGTGGTAATTCTCCTTATACCTATAGAAAAAGTCCCTCTCATATCAGTTTGATCAACAGCTTTGAAATTTTCAACAATAAAAGAGTAGGAGGGTAGATTAGATGATTTCAGAAGTTTTCTTCTAGCATTATTATTATAATTATCACAATCATTACCATTATTATCATTATTAATGCATTTCAGGTTGTTTGAAGGCTTTCTCTCAGCTGAACCGAAATGGCCAGGGAAATTGCTAGGCTAGAATTAAGACTACAGGTGCTGCAACAGTGAACTACAGTTATTCTGCTCAATATAGTCTTACTTGCAAGTCTGAAATGATCAGAACCACACTACAAAATGCTTGTGTTAAGGTTGATTAATGTGATGAGTTGTGCCAATGCGAGGCAGTCTCTAGTTGCTGCGGTTTAGCCTGCTCTACTGATGTGTGTCAGCAGAGATCAGGTTTTGATTCATACTTGTTAATATGTCTCTTAGTTTGGGATACTATCTTAGCTTGGCTTCTGCAGTTTTGCGTGAGGCTAGGAAGTGAGTGGCAGTACTTAACTGACTTAATACAGTGCTAAAATCAAACCCTTTATGGAGGGAAGTGCAGTTCTCTTTGAAGGACTGTGAAGGGCTGGATATCCAGGCTTATGTAAAAGGACTGCTTCAATCCAGAAAACAACCTGAACAGCCTCATCAGCTACTCAACAGTTCTCAGAAATACAAAGTCAAGCCTTTACCTAATGTTACAGCTGTAAATATTCCATGTCTCTCAGTTCTATATACTGTATTCTGTACACAGGAACTGCTGAAAGAAATGTCTGTATTGTAGTTGATTTTCATCCACAAAATCCTACGGAGGAGTATGTGCACAAATGAATTAGAACCACTGACTTTCTTTCATCCTTGTTTTAAAAGGGCATGTACCATTGTGGAGAGCTATTCTGGGAAGAGGTCACTTGCTTCCTCCCCTTAAGTCTGATTCCATTGCTGCACTGAATGCAGATGTTGATTTAGTAGTAAGATGTGCTGTGCTGTTGTGCAGGAGCTGTGAAGAGCTGCCTGCATTCCCCACCCCCTGTTCCATTTGGGACAGGCATTTATGGATTGTCTACAATAGGCACTGTGGGCACAGGTCTGGTGGTGGTGGCTGGCTGCACCAGTGGGTGTAGGGCTGCAGACCTGGCTTCGTGACACTCTGAGGCTTTCTGTGCTAATGACAGGGCTCAAAGCTGCTTTATACTCAAGATGTATTTATACAACTAGACTGGTTGCCCAGAGAGGTGGCAGATGCTCCATCCCTGGAGATATTTCAAGGCCAGGCTGGATGTGGTTCTGGGCAACCTTACCTAGTTGAAGATGTCCCTGCTCATTGCAGGGGGTTGGACTAGATGAGCTTTAAAGGTCTCTTCCAACCCAAACTATTCTATGATTCTAGGGAGTTTTCCCTTATGTGCCCTTTATCAGCCCAGTCAATCCAGTCTATTGCCCTGGAACAGCATCTTCAATATCAAATGTTGCATCTGGGCTTCCCTGATTAGAAGAAAAGACCTATATTGAGAATGTATTAAAAAGTGCCTGAATTTTATACTAGACTTGAACCAATGCTAATCTTGTATATCGTGATGGTTCTCTAATATTCTGTCATTTAAATTTTTTCCCAGATTTTGCAGGTTTTGTACTAGGAGAGAATGACTATCTCATCCATCAGTTTTCCTTAGCTTTATTCTGATTTATGGTAAAGGTCTGAGGCAGATTTCCACAGAAACGTTTAATCACTACTTGGGAAATGCTCAAATACAACATTTCATATGATGTTTTCTGTGCTGTTGTTCTTTCTTCCACATTTGCTTTTCCCCACGTAAAGATTGTGTTAGAAAAGGTTTATGTGAAATATAAAGTAATTGTTCATTGGGAGCCTTTTGCTATGTAAAGAATTTTCTAATTAACATGTTATTGCAGTTCCATTTGGAAATCTTTTGGTGAGAGACACATTTCAAGTTCTTCCTACCGAGCTAAGCTCAATTTGAGACACATTCTGCTTCGAAAGCAGCTCTTACTTCCCTGTGCTTGCTTACTGGATGCACCATAGCTGAAGAAATATATTCAGTGTACCAGTGTGATGGATCTTCTCCTGAGAGAATTACCTGCAAGTGGTTAACAGCCACCACAAATACTTCTTAAATGTTTACCTGTTACCATTGTGCAGACTGTTGGTGGAGGCACAAATCAAGTGAGAGCTGATGGAGAGATAAATATGTATTGTACGATTCCCAAAGAATTCCCACACAATTCACCATTTTATGCTGTATTGAAATACAGTCATTGCAGAGTGTTTTACAAGGAGTTGTCTGCTCTGAAGTGTAGCTCCTTGCTCTAGGTCCTGGTGAGGGGACATGGCTGGAAGCTTTACTCTTCTGCTCTGACTGTAGAATTACTGTAGCATGGCTGACTGCACGCACAGGTGAGATGAAGCAACATTTCTTTCCAAGCCCACACAAGAGACAGTCAAACATCAGTGCCTAGTGAATCCAGCGTTCCAGGCTAACAAATAGGATTTACAACCATAATTTCAGTTAAATATGCCAGTTGTAAGATCAGTTGCTATAATTAACAAAGTCCAGCTTAGCGGCATTGAGGGAATTTCTCATTATCTGACAGTAGAGACATTATTAAGCTGCTTCGAAATCTTGGCGTTTATTATCCTCTAAAAATACTCTGTTCATGTGCAGTAACTAATACATTTGGAACTAGATGATCTTAAGATCCCTTCCAACCCTAACCATTCCATAATGCTGTGATTAGGTAGCTACAGCTAACCAGTGTGCTTCCTACAGCTTGTTTCATAGATGAGAGCATTCACACATTGATTTGTATTGGTGTATTAATGCTCAGAAGAAGGTGCAATGTACAGTGTAGCTTTTCTGATAAACTATTTTAAAATATAAATCAAAACTATGTATAGTCTCAATGGGCAGTAACAGCTTTTATGTATATTCTTCTGTCTTTCAAGATCATTTGGATTTACATCTTTCTGAAGCTATTCTTCTTCTCTGTGTCTTAGTACCTGTAGAGCTACTAACACTGGAGAACTGTACGTATAAAACAACCTCAAGGTGACTTCACTAAAGATCCTAAAGACGAAGCACTCCCCACCTGACAGAAAACTGTGTATCAGTAGGCAAGTAAACAACACTTTCAGATCTGGGGACTTCTGAACATGCAGAAGGTTATGTTCATCAAACATTTTGCAGGGATCTCTGAAGAAAGAAAAGGTCTGCCATAAAAGAAATAAATACTCAAATAGCAGCAGGAAAACCTAAAATACAGCAAAAAATCCCCATCTTCCACACTGCTTGTTTGTGTATTTGGGAGTCTCCTAACCAGGAAATAATCATAGATGGATTGAAACTAAATTCTCCAGCCAGACCTGGAGGTCTAACAACCAGTTTAAAGTGTTACACAAAACATTGTCACAATCTGTGACAGCTTTAAAAACATCCGTTGTAAATGGCCAGGTAAAGCAGGGCTGGAGTGCTTT